TATATATACAGTACATACATACACACATTGATGTAAAGTTAAGAAAAAAACTTAGGCATATTATGCAGGGAAAAGGTGAGTTTGTTTAGCTCAGAGCTTTGGATATAAAGAACTGGTGCAGAATCTCATTGATTTAGAGGGGCCTGTGGCTACAGCATACCAGGCAAGTGGATGGCACCACATAGGTCATATGCAGATGGGAGATGGTATGGACAAGACAGGAACGAGGGCCTGTGGGGGAAAATGCTTCTTCCTTTTATAATATCCATTCTAACAGGAATAAAACCATTCTTACTCCACCTGACCCTCTTCCAGCAAACAGCATTAATCCCTTCAGGGGGGAATACCGACCTAGTATGTCCTGCTAGATATTTTACTAACTCTCAGCATTACCCCGTTAGGGGCAAATCATGTGACCTTTTAGGATACAATCCATTTACAAACCCCAGAACAGAGAAAATTCCAGCTAGGAACATTAGCATCCATTCCCTGTTTGTTGAGAAACCAAGAATTATTGGATCTCAGTGTCTCTTTTTGATTATATCCAAGAATCACTCAACTCCTCCAAGCTACACAAGGACATTTCAATTGGCATGTCTAACTAACAAATTAATGAGAAGTCTCTGGAGGCTAGGGTAGTGTTCTGACTGCTATTATGTCAACTGACACAAGCTAGAGCTATCTGAAAGGAGGGAACCTCAGTTGAGAAAATGTCTCCATAAGATCCTGCTGCAGGGCATTTTCTATTATGGGTTATGTCATCCCAGGACTGGTCCTAGGTTCTATAAAGACATGATGAGTAGACAGTAAGTAGCCTCCATGGCCTCTGCATCAGCTTCTGCTTCTAGATTCTTGCCCTGTTTAAGTTCCTGTCCTGACTTCCTTAAGAGGTTGGACTACAATGCAGATAAGTAAGGCAAATAAAACCTTCCCTCCCCAAGTTACTTTGGTGTTGGTTTTTCATCATAGCAATAGAAACCCTAACTAAGACAGGAATTATCTTCACTCATTCTTAGCACCTACCGTGTTTGCTGTTCTGGGTACCAGGAATATAGCAACAAGTATGAAGCCTGCCTGTAGAGTGCTCATACTAGAATGAGAAAAACAAAATGTAAATGAATCAACGAATGAGTACTTCCAAATTATAGTAAAAAGAGTAGGAAAGGCTTTCTGTCATACTGTGGCAATGCAAGTTTGAGGAAGTGTTTGAGTTGAATGTCATTCTTCCAAATGGAGTTGGATCCCTCTACATTTCTAATTCAGACTATAACTTTGAATGTTTAGAATGGATGTTAATGGCCTTAAGTGTATAGCCATTTGTATATATACCTCTGCTTAGTCATGAGGCATTTGAGGCATTTGATATTTGGACTATAGGACTTATCTGTAGTGTGAAGTTTTTTCTAGTATGTGCTCATTGTCTTTAATGTAGCCAATGACTATCTTCCTACATCCCCAGATTATCACTGTACTTGAAGTCTTACTCTTTATCATACTTTTACATGTATTCTGTAGCCTTCAAGAAGAAAGGGTAAATACATGATTGTGTTCCAGTCTGCATTCTTCAGAGTCTGACCACATTTTAATACATGTGTCTCTCACATAGCCAATATGCACACAATTTGAACACTAAAGTTTTCTAATGGGTTATAATAAAATGAAAGAGATGGGGATTGCTATTTCTTAAGCATATGTGAAAAGAAGTGATTCACTTTCGCCACTAAAATATTCATAAATACTTAATACTTTAAGTATTTGGTTTGTTACTAGCTTACAGTTAGATCACTATAAATGATAAGTAAATTTATCATTGCTCTCCATTAAACACCCAATTGATGATAAGTGCTAAACTTACAAAAGCATGCTGCTGGGTAGGTAAGCTCATTGTGACTTCTTTTAAATTTGCTTAAGATTTTCCTCAATTTCAGAAAACATTAGAATCTGAAGAATCTAGTTCTGAGCTCTTAGATTAAGCAGCCATTCCTTTTGAAAACCACTGGAAACAGCTCTAGACCTGTCTGCAAAGCCTTCCAAACAGCTATGAATCAGTGTGTTTCCTCATCAGTATTACTCTGTCTTTAACACAAACCTTGCATCAGTCAATAATTATGAATGGTGGAGCTAGAAGGATGGCACAGGGATTAAGAACACTTGCTGCCCTGTCAGAGAAGCAGAGTTCAGTTTCCAGCACTCACATCGAGCTGCTCACAACTTCCTGTAACTCCATCTCCAGGGGGTCCCATACCTCTAGCTTCTGTGAGTACCAGCATACATATGTGCTACACACAGGCACAAGCACACATATCCATAAATAAAAATGAATATTTGAGAACAAAACATAATTACAAATGCTTTGCTTTTGCATGCTCTTGGTCAATGTGTGTTAAGTATTAATTTGACTTGCATTAAGTTAACTCTTAAATATATTGCTAATTACAAATTTTCAAATCACAGAAATATGCACAAATATCCTGTACATATTTTTACCTTGTTTGGATATCTGAGTTCTAATGTATATACAGTGTGCATGTTTATATAAATGTGGGTACATGTTTGTGGGGGGTGCTCATACACATGTGTGTTTGCATGTAGATGTTGATGTTGGGAAATAAGCCCAACTGCTTTCCAGCTTATGCACTGATACAGTTTCTCATTCAAACCCAAAGCATCAATATGGCTAGTCCTGCTGGCTAGCTTGCTCTGGGGATGCCCTACCTCCACCTTCCCAAGCTATAATTACAGGTGATCATGATGCACACCCGGCATTTACAAGGGTTCTGGGGATCCAAAGTACTGTTGTTCACTATGAAGCAAAGAAGTAAAAACAGTTCAGTGAAGGTGGGAAAAAGAAGCATCAGAACTGAGAGACCGACTAGTCCTTGTCTTCTCTGCTAAATCTGGGCTCAACAATGAAGCATCGATCATAGGAGTAGTTAAGCTCAGAGCGCTGAGTACCATGTAGCTTACTCTCCCTGTTGGGAACCCAACCTCTTTGTGCAGAGCAGTCTGGAGTACTGGCTTCTTTTCCTTAGCATTTCATCTGTGTCAAAGAGAAACAGACCAAACCAAAAGTGCCTGTCACCTCTTACTTAGTATATAAATACGTGTGCACATGCACATATCCATATGTGCCTGGGAGCTTCTAGAAGGGGAAGCAAGGCGGCACTACCAGGGGTTTTCAATGAAATGTGTTTAAGTCACAGGAACATTTTCCATTTTCTAGTTTTTCTAGCTGTTGTTATTGAGCATTTGACTTTTTTGTAATAAAAATGTATTTGTTAGACTTAAACAAGTGACAGTGTTTGGAAAGTGTTTGTTATATCTCTAAACAAAAGTTAAGAGCTCCCATAACTCTTGTGACCAGCATATCTAGCTGTAGAAGTAGTGTATTGTGGTGGGGTAGGGGGCATAGGCATGCCACAGCATACATGTGGAGGTCAGAGAACAGCTTTGCTGAGTTGATTTCTTTGCTTCCATCTCTGGGAATCCAACTCAGGTCCCTAGGCTTCTGCAGCCAGCAGCTTGACCCACTGTGTCTCACCAGCCCAGTATGTGTAAAGCATTTATGTGCAGCTACTGGAGTGGTACATAGAAGAAGCAGCCATTATGTTGGTTTGTCTGTCCTAGGTTTTCATTTACTCCATGTTGTTTCATGAGCATCTTTCCCAAAAAGTTGTGTTTTCTTCCTTTCATTCATGAAGTTGACTGTTTACTTAAAAAGGTGTGTGAGTTTCATTGTTAAAATTAAACAGAGGGGTTTTAAAAGTATGTCAGAGACGCACAGACTTTGTAGCTAGCCAAGAGAGATTACATATATAATGTTTTGAGTGAAGTTTAAGGCACTCAGTATTGAACCTTAACCAAGCAGTGGAACAAAACAAGTTTACCCTTGTAACAGGAATTGTTTTAATTTTGTAACTATTTAGTGTTGTATAACTGCTTCATACCACTTTGACGTAATTTTTTATTAGTAAAATGTGTTTTTCACATCATAATTCTTGATCCCTTTCCTTCTCTGTCCCTTCACAGTCAATCTTTGCCCCTGCATGTCCCCCCAAATAAAACAAAATCCAAGAGAAAAAAATGAAAAAAAGAGAAAAATTAAAAAATAAAAAAAGGCAAGGAATTAAAAAACACTGTGTACTCCTTGGTCCATACATATCTGTTTACAAGTGTTCACTCAAAGAGTCATTGTTCTGGTTCTTGGCCCCTGTTCTCCACTACATTTCAATGCTGGGCCCCCACTAGGACTCTCCCTGGACACCCTGCGGGCACCCTGTATTGTGGGGATCCTGCAGCTTTGGATCTGTGAGTCAGGTCCCTTCACGGGTTTCAGCAGATCATAGATGGTATGGATATTGGGGCAGGCCAAGTCATACCCTGAGTCTAGGCCTGGGCAGCTGCAGGGTTGGTCCACCGGATGGAAAATTGGGACAGCTGTCCCATGGTTACAGTTTCAGGGGTGACTCACCCACACCTCTGCTAACAGGGTTGAATCTGTTGTGCTGCTCTGGCGAGGTGCAGGGCCTCCGTGTTGTTGCAGCTGGTGTGGATGGGGATAGCTCTCTTATGACCACAGAGCCACCTCTCCTAGCTTCCCCAGGCATTGGTGGGCAGGGGGGAGAATTTCTCCCCGCCACCCATGTAGCCACAAGACAGAAATGGGGCAGCTCTCCCATGTTCACAACTTCGGGCCTGGTTTGCCCACACACGCACTAACAGGGTTCTATTGTGCCGCCAATTTTTTTTAATAATTGGGATCCATTTGATTCCTTTTCATCTTCTCATATGCACCCCCTCTTGAAAATGAGTGAACTTAGATTCTTACAAACATGAGCGTATTCAAATATATGCACAGAGTCTTGCCTTTGAAGAGAAGCTGGTGCCAGCGGTTTCATGTGCTGTGCCATGGCTGTTGCTGCAGGGAGCAGAGCAGAGAGCGTGGGCAAGCTGGAAGACCATGGTGTGGATGCAGTGAGCTGTAATGATGTGCGTGTTGACTTCACTCAGGAAGAGTGGGCTCTGCTGGATCTGCAGAGAGCAGAGCAGAGAGCGTGGGCAGGCTGGAAGACCGTGGTGTGGATGCAGTGACCTGTAGTGATGTGCGTGTTGACTTCACTCAGGAAGAGTGGGCTCTGCTGGATCCTTCACAGAAGATTCTCTACCAAGATGGGATGCTGGAGACCTATAGGAACCTCACTGCTATAGGCTACAAATGGGAAGATGATAATATCAAAGAACATTGTCAAAGTTCTCAAAGACATGGAAGGTAATTTTCATGTATATGCTCATGCAAATGTGCCTCTGAAGATATTTTAATGTATATAGAAGTTTCAAAGAAAAAGCAGCAGTGGAAATCATCACATCATAAAGTTCACCGATGATCATTAAATTCTCACTAGGCTATATACCTCAACAGCAGAGGGATACAGGGTCACCATGAAGGCGGTATGTCAGATGTGGCAGCAAAAGCAGGAGGCTAAAAACTGACATTCTGAAACTGCAGCAGGAAGCAGAGAGACTGGAAACTGGAAATGGTGTGTGAATGTAATTTCTCAAGCCTGTACATATTTCCTCCAACTGGGCAACATGGTCTAAATCTTCCCAAATAATACCACCATCTTAGGATTGATTTCCCTGGCTTCAAGCTTGCATGCTTGCTTTGTGTGAACCAACTCATGATGAAGAAAAACTCTATAGGTAAACCACCAGATGTCTCAACAGCTGAGTTACAGGAATGAATTATTACAAGAAAAGAACTTCCATGAGTCAAAAATTATTTAAAGAAATGTTTTCTTTGTAATTATGTGATGGTAATATGTATATGTGTGGGTATGTGAGTGTGCATTCTGGTTCCTGAGAACATTAGACCTTTGGATCTCCTTGTAGCAGGAATTATAGGAAGTTGTCAAAAATCATATCTTGGTCCTGGGAATGAACATTTCTTCACTGTCTTCACTGTCTCTAGGGCTATAAATATTTTAAAGCCTATTTATATCATTTTTAAAGTCAAGAAATAGGAACAAGCTCATACAAGAGGAAAAAAAACCTATTAATGAAAATGATTTGGTAAAGTCTTTAGTCATCACAGTTGTCTTAAGCTTCAAGAAAAAAATCAAGCTTCATTTATATTTCATCGTATCCTTGAAGGAAGTAAACTACTTACCATGTTCACTGAAGACTGAGGGTGGAGATCACGACATTGTGGTTATGTTTTTAAACATTTGAGGTAGATACTAAAGTGTGATATGTGTGTGACAAATCCAATTAGGGAAGCTTATCTCATGGTCCTTATATTCCTTTTGTATCTTTTTCTCATCTTCTATTGGGCTCTTACTTAGTGATAGGCATTTTTCTGCTGTAATATATAGAATGCTATCCCCATCAACTAAGTGATCCATTGTTTAAAGTATGTATGATCATACTTTTCAAGTAAGGTTCAAAGGTAATGAGTTGTTCCTGTTTTGTTTTTCATATGTTTACAAATTCTCTCGAAATTTTGTTGTTTGTTGTTCAATTTGACCTGGATTTCAGTAATGGTACAGTGATACCTTTGAACTCATGACCCTCATGTTTCTGCTACAAGTCCAAGGGTAGATGAAGTACTACAAATGTGAGCTGTTTTGTCAACACAGTTTAACAAGGTTAATGTTAAAATGATGATAGAGGAGAACATAAGAAACATTAAATATCTTTAAAAAACAAATAATAAACATTTGGCAAAATGTAGACAGTGCCACTGGAGCTGGGGAGTGGCCATAAGTAAAGCAGTGTGTGCTGAGTTGAGGCAGGCTCTTATGTCTCGCAGACATTCCTGGGTCTCAGCTAGGACTTTAGGGTAACCACCTGCTGTGGTACAGCACTCTGTGTTCGGTGTGACACTACCGAGAATCCAAACGCTTGTGGAAGGCCCACGCCAGTGCCTGAGAGCATGTCTCCTTGCCCAACAGCCCACGAGAACTTGGCCCCACACGGGCTTTTACTTTTATTTTCATTTTTCTTTGCTGCCCTCTCACGTCAGCTGCCTCTCTGTGGAACCACAAAGAAAACTGAAGCTTAGCAATTTTACTTTGCCCAGAACTCAGGTACTTAAAAAGTAAGATTTTTTTTCAGCTTTAGGTTTAAATAACTTTTTTTTCTTTTTAACCTTCAGGGTTATTTCAAAGTAGAATGTCTTTTACTGAACCTAACTGACTTCCAATTTGAGGACCTGTGGTTTTAAAAAGTATCATCAGCCACAGACTTATCAAGTTCACAGACTGCCCACAGACCAGATACGTTGAAGGAGTGGTTTTCCTGTTGCCCCTCCTCTCAACTTTAACCTCCAACCTTCTCTAGCATGTATCATGACAAATAAAACTGCTGAGGTTTGACAGCAGGATATGAAGTCAGTAGGCCATCGCATAAGATGGTCAGGGATTCTTCTCAGGCTGAAATAAGTGCTCTGCACTGGATTTTTCCAGAGGAAGTCGTAAACACTCATATCACTGTAGTTTTAATAATTATTGGTCCAAAAAAAAGAAGTATACATATTAAATGATGTTTGACAACTCTAATTTAGTCGTTTTGTTATTGGTTGTCTTTGACCATTAACTTGGATTTCTGTTCTTAATTTAATGTATACTATTTCAAGCAAGCAACATTCGATCCCGATATAAACATGACGTTGTATACAGCATTCTAAATGAGTTTTTAGTTTGTGATTAAGACAAACCATATGATGAAAAGCAAACAATGTGTCTGTATTGCCCTACTGACTTAAAACTATCTCACCTACAGTGCCTTCTGTCATTTCACGTGGAGACATGAGCACCTCAGCTCATCACGCTTCCTTGGATTTCAGATATTTGTATAGATTCTCAAAGAACCCAGCTGTCTAGAGTGTTATTCATTCTTCACCGCACAAACACTGTCTTGTGAAGTCTTTGCAACTGCTCCATCAAACTGGGCTCTCTCCCTTACTAGGTCTGAGCATTAGGAACATTAGGAACAGGCAAGCAGTTACATCGGTACTTGACCAGTGCTTCTTATTTGGATGGATGGATGGATGGATGGATGGATGGGTGGGTGGGTGGGTGGGTGGGTGGGTGGGTGTCTGTCTGTCTGTCTGTCCAGGTCCTCTTTCTTTGTCCTGATTTTCTCCCATTTTGAGTGTAATTTTGGTCTTTTCATCAGTATACTGAAACAGGAAAAACCAGAAGATGGGAGATGTGGGAGTGTGGAAGTCAGTCATGGAACTAGAAATGGGGTGAGGCACCTCCAGGTTGACCTCTGCAGAGTCATGCATGCCTCTCAAAGGATCCAGGATAGCTTCCACAGAAGCACAGTACTGCCATAGTGTGCTCCTCGCATCAGGAGGAGGAGCCAGAACCCTCACAGTATGCAGCCTGAAGTGAGGGGCTGAGGGTGGAGATAAGAGATGGAACACAAGTAATAATAATGATAATAACAACAACAACCAAGACCTGTGAATGTGACACAACATCTTAGAGTTGGTAGGAAATTGGATTTTTGTATGTTTCTTGTGGAAGCATTTTGAGATCATCAGGAGCCTTCATCCCTCCCTCCCTCAGCAGTGGCAACACATGAACAGAGGAATCCTTTCCTCATATTTACTAGCAGCAGCTGTTGTAATGTACTGCATTGGTACAGCACTTCCACATTCATTAATGTGTTTGAGGCTAACCCTTCCACTGGGAAAGGAAAAGCATTTCAAATGGGTCAGAAAAGCCAAGACTCAGGGAAAAAATGTAATCTACTCAACATTAATTGATTCATATCAAAGCCAGCATCGCTTCACTTACTGTTCAGCAAAGCTGTTGATGAATGTTTACCATGTGCCTGGTATCCAGGGATGACCATGAGTGTGACCTATGAGGTACAGGGGGACCTCTCGGTCAGGCCATGTGCTATGTTCAGCTGTCCTCATTCCTGGGACACACCAGTTGAACAATCTCTACCTGTTTCAACTTCCCAGTTCACTAACTCCAAACTTGTTAAGACTGACAGCTATAGCGTAAGAGTCCCAGCCTCACACTCAGCTTGCAAACGGGAAACAGGGACCTAGGGACTCATTAGGAAAAGTTGCAGAAACCAGAGGTTGGAGCTCTGGGGCTAGTTGCATGGACAACTCAAAAAAAAAAAAGAAAGAAAGAAAGAAAAAGAAAAGGAAAGGAAAGAAAAATTCATGGATAAAAATGAGAAAAAGCATTAGACTTTTTGAGACTAATAAGTGTCCAAACCTCCATCTTTATGTTGCACATTTGCTGCCTGTGTTATTAGAATAAATAAACCTCTTAAATTTGTGTGGTTGAAAATAAAGGGAACCCAGATATTTTAAACTTTTGATCACTATTCAAAAAATGACTGCTTCACTGTTAACTATATGTTCTTTGTATTTGCTTTTATCAGGAAACTTCTTCCTAGTGTTCTTATTGACAAAAGTGTAGATGGACAGACAGATAGATTACTGATAGTTTTTAAATTGATAGATGGTGCTCAGTGAGTTCAGCTCATTCCTTACGACCCTAGGAATGCTTGAGTAGTTCTGAAAACAATGTTCCAGTAGCTCCCTGTACCACCCTGGTTGATTGGTTTAAAGTTAGTTTGGCTCTCTGCTTGCTCTGCATTCTTTTGCTTATAGCAATTGGATAGAAAGTATGTATATAAATACAGGACTGGTGCCGGAGAGATGGCTCAGCCGTTAAAGGCTAGGCTTAAAACCAAAATACAGGACTGGAAGTGGTTGCGGGAAATCTTGAAAAGAGGCAGCAATGAAGGTTAAGATCCTGATATGAAGCCCAAGGTAAGGAGGTAAATGTACATTAATTGCTATTGCTTAAAATGTTGTGGACCATCAGTAACATACAGAACTTTTTTTATTTGTTTATATTTGGGGATTTTTGAAAGATTTCCCCCAGCTGAACTACCCCAGTCCCCAAACCCAACATGATGCAAACTCTGAACCTCGTGAGGGTACTGAAGAAGTTTGGAGTTTCAGAACTTTTTTTAGATTGCAGGTGTTCATCCTATGACCGTATCCTAACTTGGGGATGGAAGTGAGAGACCTTCTTATCTGATGTTCCTGGTCTTCTCTAACCTTGCAGCAGGCAGTGAAATCATTATTTTCCTACTAGGATGGAGTGAAGCCATAGAAAGGTTGTGACTGAGAGGAAAGTTCTACCAAATATTCATTTCAAAATTATTTTCTGTAATTTTGGTATGTCCAGAAAAATATTGCCTTAAAAAGAGAAGTGCTCGGGTGATGATGTACACCTTTAATCCCAGCACTGGGTGGCCGAGGCAGTGGGATCTCTGAGTTTGAGGCCTTATCTACATAGCAAGTGCCAGGTCAGCCCCCAGGGCTACATAGTTTGAGAGGAAGGAAAAAGGAAGAAAGATGGGATGGGGGTGGGGTGGAAGTGTCTGTCCATCAGAAATCACTGTTCGGGTAGCTTTTGCCACCTTTGGCTTTGGTTGGAATTGCAGGCTTTCACCTATACACTGGGTGGAATAAACATTTTAGCTCAGGAAAAGGAGATTCTGGTACTGGCTCTTCTCATGCAGTGGTTTTCTTAGAGACAGATGTGCTGCAGATCCCCCATGCTAAGCTGGTGTATGACGTATGTTTTCCTTTTCAAATCACACACTTGACCAGTAGGAACACAGGACCCCCAAAGAGGCAGAAACCCGGCATTTCCACCTCATGTTCTCTTCAGTCTCTCCTAGCACACCTGGTAGTGCTCCTGAGCTCACCTGTGCTCAGCAGCCCTGGCACTCACCTGAGGTGAACTTTCTTCGTCTCCCGCCTTACTTCAGATCCCAGGTGTTCTGCCCAGTTATATCGTTTGAACCCTTCCCACATTTTGAATTTGTTTATCAATCGAATTGTCATCTTTTTCATGGAAATTTATTTTCATTCACCGGTGGCTAGATAGTCTGTAAAGAAATTTAACTGCTGTTTCCCTCCCTGAGTCATAGAACCCTGACAGAATGGAGACAGAGATAGGAGCCCTACTTTTGCACAAAGGCATTCCTTGGATTGCAGAAGGACCAAGCATTCTATAGAAGTTCCCTTGACTCAGACCTGGGAGGCCCATTTCCAACCCTGCCTTTCCTTTTACTTCATCCTATAATGGTAGGAAAAGTTAATTAACAGCTAAATCATAATTTATTATCCTTTACAATAAGATTCACTTGCATTTACATGGTTGAGGTCCTGTTGCCACTAGACATAAGCTGTCAAACTTTTATTTATACAGAATAACTATCCTGGTTGTACTGAAGTGGTGCTACATGTAATTTAAAATTTTTTCCATCGCTCAAAATGCTCCCCGCTTTGTGTATTGCAAGGTGGAGTCGGTGATGCTACATCTGTCCACATCTGTTGAGTCTCTCCTTCACAAACTACCTAAAAAGGAATGGTCCGTTTTGAAATGATTTTGATCTTGCTGAGGATGGGTGGCCATTGGGAAAGGTAAATTACAACTGACATTGCAGGAGCAGGTAGCAGGGGAGCAGCGAGCGGAAGTCTTTCTCTTTTCTGGGCTGTTGAGAGGTGGTAGCTGTTAAAGAGCTGTCTGCTAAGTCATCCCGAGCTAATGCAAATTAGCAGTTGTTTTCTTTCAGAACTGTATGACTGAATAAACATTTACCATTTGTTTCCTTTCTACTCATCTCTTAAAACAGTTGCTACAGGTCTTAATAGTAAGACTCGAAACATATAATGTATTAGCCTTGGCACATCAAAATATTGTTCATCTTCCAAACTTGAGATATTCCAGTTTGGCTTCTCACTGAGTTTATAATGTTTCTGAGTGTATGTATCTAAAAACGCATCTTACTAATCTCCTGGAATTGATTTAAAAGAAAAAAAAGTCCCTGTAACTTGTCACTATTCCCAGCTTCAGCATGGTCTGTCACTTGTGAGATTGATGGACATTGTGCTCTGTCTCTGTCTTAGAGGGCCCCCAATATGAAATCTGAACCGTGGATCTGTATTTTGGAAGAGAGGCCTATGATACTTGTGCAAATTAATAATGAGGTTAAAGTGAAGTTAGAGCCATAGCTGAGAGAGCAGTGCTCCTTGCTTTCTGTGCAAGCCTTTCTCTTGCCTCATAGGACCACCTTTTCTCATGGCGCCAGTGTGGCAACCGCCAGGGGTAAAGAATTTCACCAAGTGAACAACAGTATCTAGTAAATTTGTGTTCCGAGCTCTCCTGAAAGGTTTATTCCGCTGCCATCGTTAACATTCCTGGAGCCTGTGTCTGCCAAGTGCTTGCACTCAGTTCACAGGCTTCCAATTTAGCATGACAAAGTTGCTCCCATTTGCAAATGGGAAACCTGGAGCCCCAAATGGAGCCTCACGGTGAACTGCGCCTGGGGATGAGATCCTAGAGATACAGTATAAAGGATTATCTAGGATCATGTGGATGGTTCACGGTTGCCTTTGTCTGGCTGCTGGGTTAGATCATTCTTGGCAAGTTGGATGAATTAGTATCCTATTCCTAAGACCCATTTCATTACCTAGTTTGGAACTCTTCCACGCCCTGAAAACTTCCATTGAAACTTTCATCAATAGTATTTGCATAGACAAAATGGAATCAAACTATTGACATCTTCTTTAAGAAAAACAAAAGGCAAATGTATGTGACTGGTTTGTCACAAAAGATAATTTATCCAAAGGCACCTGTCTTCTCTAAGGACTCTGCGTGAAAGGGATTTTAGGAGGAGCCTGGTGAATTTTTTGTCTTTAAAATAAAGCTGTTTTTGAGGTAGGAGAGAAGCTTAGTTTTTGAAATGGCACAATGAATAACAGAGGTCTCTTTTCACCTCCCAAAAAAGAGGCACTAAAAGGGACATTTGTTAGGCTCTTGAGGAAGAATTGTGCCCTTAATGTGCAAGTCTAGATATAAGAGAACAGGGTGGGAGGGAGAGGAAGAGCAGGTACTATTGGAGCCATGCTGGCTCCGAAAGCAGCCTCTTTCTCTTAGGTGGTCACAAGCTTACGTTCCA